AGAGTTGAAAAGTTGTTTAAGAATAAATTAAAACAGATGTTAATTGAGTTAGAGCCTTATAGTATTAGAGACTATTTAAATATGTAGCAACAGTACCTTTTAGTATAATATGTCCTTTGTCAATTGTTTTTTGACGCCATTTCATTTTGTATTCTTTATACATGTGCATGTATCAATCGAATGTAATTTGAGATAAAGAAATAGATAAAAATAAAAAAGTAACCGGTGGCTTGAGATCGGCTCTGGGGCGCCATTAAAACACTAGTTCAAAAGGCCGGACTTTTTAACATCCCCGAATGGAGCTGATTAAACTCTAGAGTGTCGTTATATATTCTCAGGACGTTCGATAAGGTCCAAGTCCTGAAATCGGGATATTGGATTCGTGACCTTTAGGCGACAATAACCCAGCGATATATTTGAGGATCGGTTCCACTATACCCATGCATTCGTTATTTTTATGCGCCTTCTACTCAACTTGTTTGCCCTTTGAAGGAAACAATCCATTGCCATAAGTAGGAGTAAGTTCAGCATCATAAATCAGTCTGCTTGTCCTGAACTGCGACTTTTTATTATGCTAAAGGGAAACGTTTGAGTCTTCAATGAAACCCACCCGTATCATGTCTTCTTTGTCCCTAGTTTCGTCACAAGTGTAAGCTAAAGTGCTCTTAATCTGCCGTTGGGCGAAGGGATTTTTCTAAGTGGAGTGAAGGATGTTTCTGGCTCACCAGCGGGTCGAATTTGAGGATTAAAACGCAGGAGTTTTTGCTGAAAAAGTAATTGCAACCTTTAGACCAAAAACTCCCATTTTGCCTGCTGATTCTCAGCGCTCGAAACCGTTCAAATGCAAAGCGACAAAGGGGACGAAGCGTAATTTTTTTCCACCATATTATGAAGTATTACGTTTCGAAACCGCGGGTAAAATTGGATTTTTTATTGTCTGCTGGAGAGCAAAGGAGAGTCGTAACACAGACGCTTTGACAGTGGCACGTAATTGCAAGCTGAAGAAAAACATCGCGTTTTTAGTTGATGTTTTATCAAATTTTCCCGCTTTGAAGTTCATGTGTCGGGCCTTTTTCGCTGACGAATCAAAGAATTTCAGTTCAACAATTAAAGTTATTAACTGCGCTTCTTGAAGTTGTGCAGCTCGTAAGCTGATATTTAATATTAACCGTTTCGCTTGAAACTTTGTTAGTTACACTGCATTGTAGTTCACTTTTCTCGCTGCTCGAGTATCAGCTCAGTTGCAGTCGAATTTAAAATATTGGCGGAAAGTTTGCACAAACAGCTTCTTGCAGTTCTCAATTTCAGTTAACGAAGTCAAAATTGCCGTATTTTCCTGCTTAAGCTTGTATTTTATTGCATTGTCGTTGGGAAACGTTTTCTGCCAACTGTATTCAACTGCACGGTATTTTATTTTAAGTTATCGAAGACGAATATACTTACTTTATCAGTTTTGGAGCTTTAAAGCGACCTTTTCATATCTTTAACTGTAGAGGAAAATAAACGTTGCACAGCCAAATTTGCTTTAAGTTTGGAACTCGATAAGTTCTGATCGCTTAGAGCGATTTCGGTTCTGTTTGAAGTGTTATTGAGATTCGTTTATTTTTTGTTAGTCAGTGCTTTGGTAAAAATTGCGCATCGCAGATTAATTTTCTACAGGACGACAAATGAAAAAGTGTAAGATTTTTGAACAAATGAAAATTTGTTTAAAATGTTTTAAATTTTACATTTTTGGCACATTTTAAGGGTTTTTTTTAGCGATGTCGATGTTTAGCTGCCGATTTCTTCCTCATTTTTGATTCAAACACTTTATAAATGCATATTTGTCAACTTCTAACGTAGAAAGGAACCGTTTGAGCTCCAAAAACACACATGTGAAATTTTGATTTTTGGCCCAAATTTTTCCAAGGGTGGGGGTCGATTTTTTTGAAAAAAT